CGTACTTTCTATCTCCTCGGAGATCAGATCTGAATAGACAAGGCATATAGTAACGATAAGGTCATGACCACCTAGGCAGTGCAAAAAAAGAAAGAAAAAAAGGAGAAGGCAAAGTGTCTCGCAAGGTCCTGACCCAAATGACTCGTATCTAGTGCCAATACCAGTGCCAGTGCTGCTGGTCCGAGCACGAATCCGAGTCGTGGCGTGATTTTCTTCATCCACTCTACTCCGTACCCCTGGCCCGTCTCAGTACCTACTAGTACTACTTCAAGTTCATGGGTGGAGGACATATTCCTTTCCAATTCAAGTCTATCGAAAGCGGAGCATTCTTGCTAGTAGATGCGTCTACAAAAAAGCCCCGAAAAAAAGGGGAAAAAAGGGAACAACAAAGGTATCGATCAAATCGGAGGAAGAAGGGAAGCTAAAGCAACAACGCCAGATGCAATGAAATGGAATGGACAAACGGGCCGAAGGTCTAGCCCACAAAACTCAGGTATAGAAGGATGTACCGACTCGCTCTTGTCCCGAATAATGAAAACGCCGGCTTGCTGATCTGTGAGATGCAAATAGATAAAAGAAAAGCAAAAAGATCAAACATAGATAAGGGGAAAGGGGGAAAGTAAGTGCTCCCAAAATTCGAGGGTCGTTTAGTCGTTACGTGCGTGTTTTCGCTGTGCTGGGCTGTAATGCAAGTATGCAGTTGCAGGTATATGGTGCGAAATATCATCAGATCGAATAAAGCAGGTAGGCAGGCAGGCAGGCAGGCAAGGCGAATCAAGTGCGCTTCGAATGGGAGTCTTCCGACTCGGGTTCCGGGTCGACGACGGTCAATGGGGAATCCTCTTCATTCTGACTCTTCGGACTCATCTGTAAAGGTAGATAGATTAGTCCTGTTTACCATTCCCACGCGCGCACTCATCAGAAGGAAGTCGATCTCGCACCTTATCCAGCTTATAATTCTCCATGACAAGACTGAGCGGGATAAGCGGCAAAGTAGCAATAATAGCGAGAGTGAGCAGCCGATTCATGGTCTCCTGATAACTGCGATTGATAGCGATGCGAGTGGGCGAACCAACAGGATATTCCAACGCCTTGGCGAGACTTCCGAAGATCTCCGCGGCGGCGGATTGGCTTTCTGCAGGTAGGTATTTCAGGAGTTTGGCCGGGATGGAATGGGTCCAAACAGCGCCGGAGATGGCTGCGCCGACGGCACCGCCTAGTTCCATCGATGTGAGGAACATGGCTGTTGCGGCGGCGACTTCTTGGTGGCTTGCTGATGCTTGAACGCCGAGTTGGACGGGGACGTTTAGGAGGCCTCCGCCGCAGCCGACTAGGATTTGCGTGAAGAGGACTTGGGCGTGGGAGGCGTTTTCGGTTCGGTAGGTTAGCATCAGGGTTAGGCCTGTCATGTAGATTACGCAGCCGATTGTGACGAAGATTCGGTAGCGGCGCGTGTATTTAATCAGGAGGGAGACGCTGAAGGCGGCAATTGTTGAGGTGAAGGCGAATGTTTGTGTGACACGACCGGCTGTCGCGACGTCGTAGTTTTGGACAACTTGGAGGTAGGAGTAGAGGTATGGCTGGACGGAGAAGTAGAATGCCACTGTCGGTGTTGGTTAGTTGGGGGGGGATTTATGGAATGGGGGTGGTGGTGGTGGACGTACTGAAGTACCAGAATGCGAGAAAGCAACCTGCAAGAGCAGTTTTCTGTTTAAGAAGATGCAGAGAAAGCAATGGTTTGGGCGCGAGCTTCTTAGAAGTTTCGTAAAATGGCATGATGACCAGACACACGAGTCCAATTACCATCATCGCAATGATGCTGGGATTCATCCATCCATTCTTAGCACTGGCTGCCAAAGTCAAAGGCACAAGGATCAGAGTGACCGCAGCGGAGAGCAGACTCAGACCACCGACATCTAGGTCATACCAAGTGCGTCTCATGATAGCGAAAACGCTGCGTCTCCGCTTCTTGCGAGAAGACTTGATCAGATTCAATCTGCGGGCCTTGCGCTGATTCAGAAGCAATGAAAGTGCGAGAGGTAAGAAGGCCGCAGGCAGGATGATTGCCCACATACCATACCCCCATCGCCATGATGTTGAGCGAAGGACGGCCCCCGCAATAGTTGGACCAAGCCATACGGTGACCAGGAATGGAAATTCGGGGAGAAGAGCCAGAAAAGCACGGTTTAGCAAGTCACTGCTGTCGGCGATGAACACCTGTTGCAAGATCTGCAGCCCCGTTGAGCCAGCAGAGTAGAAGATCTGAGCGGAGGCGTAGGTCTGGACATTGGTGGAGGAGGCCATCTGCACATAACCCAAGATGTAGATCAGAATGCTCACACAGAAAGCTTCGAAGCGACCGAAGACATCGGCGATCTTTGCCATGGGTGGTTTGATAACGGCTGCAAGTCATATAAAGTTTAGCGGGGAACATGACAACAAGTACAATTACATTTGGGCATTTATTTCTGCAGTTTGGCCGATGATGCCATGTAGCACCGCATCAAGTGTAAGCTTACCGTTGACTACATTCTGCACCACGAGCACGGTGGAAATCAACGAATGCTTGCTAAATGCGCTCGTCGCATAAGGCACCAAGGACATGACAGTCTGACTCTCGAGAGAAGTGCAAAAGGCCATCAAGAATATACTTTACGCCATAATTAGCGGGGAAAGGGGAGGAGGAGGGGGGAATGATTATCAAAGGCAGGGCGCTGCAAGCCACACGAACCTGACGTAGGCAATAATCAACGACCGAGTAGTCCATGTCATATTGATCGCTTCGATTTTGCGCACTCCTTCTTGCGCCTCGTCTAGCGATGAAATCTCACTGTCCTCTCCATCGGTTTCGTAGTGATACTCATCTTGGAACAGACGATCTCGTTCCTGATCTCTATGAGTGTCACGATCACGATCATTCTCCTGTTCAATAGCACCGTAGGACGGGCCGGAGCGAGGATCAAGGAGAGGCATTTTGGGGGGTTAGAGGAGAGGTACCAGTCCCCCAGGGTAGTATCTTATGTGATCACGAGAAGAAGGGCGAGGTCAAGGCGTCCATCCAGCCGAGGAGTGCAGGAATGAAGAAGACGAAGTGAGTGGGCGATCTTGAAGAACAAGGGAGATCATCGAAAAGAGTTCATGCAACATATGACCGAGAAAGGGCGTCTCTCAACTAATAAAAGGGGAGGGGGGCAGAAGCGAGGATTCAGCTTGAGTCAACACCGCTTGGGCACCGGCAGGCTGCCTTGGTGGTCCCCTTTGGGACGAGCTGAGCCAGTCAGGTCAGCGTACAGAAGGAAAAGCAAACACGAGAAGCAAGAGTAACAAATCAGGGCGATGCGCGCGGGAAAAATCAAATCAAAATTCAGGAAATCAAATGAGAAAAAAGCACACAAAAACGGATGGGGCCGCGTCGGGAGTAAGAAATAGCCTGGCAAGCGCGGTAGACGAGAAAAAGCATCAAGGGAAGTGTATGAGGCTATGCTCGAAAGAGCAGGTCTCCAGTGGTCTCCACGAGGCAGACACTGCTCTTAATAGGACCAGGCAAAGATGAGAATGGAGAATGATGGATAGATCCGCCTGAAGGGAAGTATGTGGCTGTAAGGGGAAATGGGATCGGAATCGAATCAGGTTATGGAGCGCACCCGGACTCGTACTCGTAGTGGGCGAGGACAGGTTGTAGGATCGTCGGTCGCACTTATGCACGAAGATGGGGAATCCCTAGGGAGTGATAAGGCGCGGTCCGAACTCAGCATTCCCGAGGAGAGAGGAAAGCAGAGTCGGAGATGGGAGTGTACTAAAGAGAGAGAGGGAGGGAGGGAAATACAGTGGGCAAGGAGTGAACGAGGAAAGCAGCGCAGAACGAGAAATGAAGATGAATGAAAAGCTGAAAAAGAGTGGGGATACGTCAGGCACGGGGGTGGGGGTGTGGAAGAATGAATGGGCAGTGGGCTCGGAGACTCGGAAGTTGGCTGGCGGAGTTGAGTGGAGTGGTGTGACTTTAGCAGGGAGAGAGGCGAAGTGTATACGGAGGAGAAGTCCGAAACAGGACCAGCCCATCAGATATGATTGATCGATAAGATGTTAACCAGGGCCTTGGTTCGTCGGTTCCAGACAAACCTGGTCGAGTGGGTCAAGTAGGTCGAGTAGGAGTAAGCTGGCTTACATGAGGAGGAGGAGTAGTAGTATTAACTATCCTACTGGTATACTACTATTATATTATAATTATTAATAATTTATAGCAGCTGCTATATTATACTTATGAAGCAGTAAATATAGCAACACTAGTAATACTCGCACGTGGCAATTCTCCGATCTCCTCACACACAGTCGTATCAATACTCACAGAGTAGTCCAAGGTTGCACTGCAACTCCCAATCATCTGCCCGAGTCTGTCCTCCCACCTACTCCGTATACATCACCCGGTAGATCCACTTGATCGCCCGTCATCCCAAACTACGGAGTACAGATCCTCGCCCTGCGCGTCAACTGCCCTGTGACCATGGCCCGTGCCATCTCCGTGGCGCCCATGGCATGATTTGCGCCAGTCTCGCGTGCAGCTCGACCCTAGGTCGATCATGCACTCCATCTCTTGGCCGAACTAGAACGAAGTAGACTCAAGTAGACTCACAGCTTATGCTTAGCTACAGTCTAGAATCTAGATCTAGAATCTACCCTACAGTAGGAGAGTCCTGGAGGAGCGGGCAGATAGAAATAGTAGTACTATTACTAGTAGTAGAAATCTAAATTAGCTACTAGCAGTACCATATTATACACGTATCCAAACTACATAACAGTCAAAAGCTGAATCATAATTTTTACCCAGAACCACCTGCCAGTACACTGGTACACTGGTACACTGGTACATCCCCTCTTCTCCTACTCAACAATCAAATGACCAAAGTTAACCTCCAACTCACCCCCCAACATCCCCGGGCCTCGCTGCATAAACCCCAACCCAACACTCCTTCACCCCCTCCTCTGCAAAAACCCACGTCACCTCACGAATCGGCGCCTTCGAAACCCCCCTCAATCAAATAAATCCACAAACTCCCGTCCTCCTCCCGAACCATCTCCAGCGTCGCCGCACCCCCACCCGATGGCACAGGAAGCAAACTCCAATCCGCAAATCGGTCCTTCGCCACAGCGCTGAGATGCGGCTTGCCGTGCGTCAATTCGATGCCCGCTTTTACCCACTTTTTGTCCCCGTTTGCGGTGTGCAGGACGATGATGAGACCCCCCTGGTCGTATTTGTGTCGCCAGGGTGCGGTGAAGGCGACGCGGGCTCGTTTGAAGGTTGAGAGTGGGATTGAGCGGTAGAGGATTGGTGCGGTGAAGGAGGAGGTGCTTGGTGGTTTGGACCAGATGTCTGTTGAGGAGGGGGCTTTTATGATGAATTCGGCTGGGGGTGTGCCATTTCCTGGGACGGGGCTGGTTGTGTTGGCGAAGTGGAAGTCGGACATGGTGTTGGTGGTGGTGATGGTGGACAACAAGAGTAATTGTATATTCTGTATGCTGTATATACTATATGGAAAAATTTGTTTAATATTTGAAGCGAAAAGAAGGTAAGATGAGGTGAGGGATGAGGGGATGAGACGGGGAAGAAGTAGAGATAGTCTGCTACGTCACTAAATCCCCGCAGATTGGCCACTGCAGCCCAGGAAAAGATACCCCCGGCAATTCCGCGAGCCTTTTTCTAGTTGCGTTGGATATGCTTGGTATTCACCGGTTTTCGTCTTGGCGGAGTACAGAGTACATTTTATAAAATAGATTCAGTGTATAGTATAGTAAATTAAATTTAAATATTGAGGAATGATATCTACAGGACGTACTTGGTACTCTATACTCGTACTGTATGTATACCCCAGCTCATCATGTGACGATGACATAACGGCTGTCGGCGCTACAATCGATAAGGGGCTGAGCCCATTTGGACGGGACAGCTCGAACTTGTTGATGATGACCTCCGTGATTCTTCTCTGACCTGCCTCAGAGTTCCAGGCATGGGCTGAAGAAAAGAAACCCCCCTTTCATGCCCGTCATGTCTTCTCGTCTCCTACATCCAGACGAGTACGAGCTTGCCTCACGCTCCTCACTCGACTCCGAGGGAACCTTCAATCTCGACGACGATGACTTCGAATCGCAAGTCTCTCCCTCCTCCCGATTCGGACGCCATCGAGCCTCCTGGCTCTCGCGCCTCTTCTCCTCCCTCCCGGGCTATACTCGCGTGAAGACCAATCATAGACCAATCTTCGCGCGCCAATCGCGCCGAACCTATCTCCGCCGCTGCACTCCCCGCCGCCGCTTTTGCTACATCCACGTCGTGTTCCTCATCATATCCGCCCTCGTGGTATTAACCTCCATCTTTCGTCCTTCATATACCCACCCACCAGCGCACTACAAAGATCTACAAAAATCCACGCAGAAAAGCACAGCGCCCGGCCGAGGGAACCCCCATGAGCAAAAAGTGTTTATCGCAGCAAGTCTATACGACCGAGATGGCGAGCTCGCGCGCGGACAATGGGGTGCGCAATTAATACAATTGATCGAATTTCTCGGCGCGGGAAATGTATACGTGAGCATCTACGAGAATGACAGCGGCGAGGAGGGACACGCTGCACTGCGCGAGTTGGAACAACGCATTCTATCCGATAAGTCAATCGTGTTCGAAGAACATCTAGACTTGAAAACGATACCAACCGTCACGATCCCCGGCGGCGAAAATCGCATCAAACGAATTGAATACTTAGCGCAGGTCCGGAATAAAGCACTCAAACCCCTAACCGAGAATCCGGACATTCGCTACGATAAAATCCTCTATTTAAACGATATCCTCTTCGATCCGGTTGATGCACTCCAATTACTCTTCTCGACGAACGTCGACGAGCATGGCTTCGCGCAGTACCGCGCTGCTTGTGCGGTGGACTTTGATAATCCGTTCAAATTCTACGATACATACGCCACCCGTGATCTGCAGGGGTATAGCATGGGATTGCCTTTCTTCCCGTGGTTCTCGAATGCTGGCAACGGCGACAGTCGCAATGACGTCTTGCAAGGCAAAGACGCTGTTCGTGTCCGGAGTTGCTGGGGAGGCATGGTTGCCTTTGATGCGAAGTTCTTCCAGACCTCACCCTCCTCTCCAGAGGTGACTCCTGTGCGCTTCCGCTCTGGGCCGGATCTCTTCTGGGAGGCTTCGGAGTGCTGCCTCATCCATGCGGATATCCAAGACCCCCAGACTGATGTGGAAGTGATCACCGATACGGGTGTTTATATGAACCCGTATGTGCGTGTTGCATACGATGCTCGCACTCTTCGTTGGCTGGGCGTGACCCGCCGGTTTGAACGGCTGTACTCGCATATTCACAATATTGGCAATCACCTCGTGGGCTTACCGTGGTATAATCCGCGGCGTGATGAGGGGGTTGGTCAGAGTGTGCAGGAGACGGTTTGGGTCTCTGATGCCAATGTTGAGGGTGGAGGGTCCTTTCAGGTGGTGGATCGTACTGCTGGGAATGACGGGTATTGTGGGAGAAGAGGTTTGCAGGTTATTGTTGAGGAGCGTAAACCTGGTCAGAAGGGTTATGAGAGTATTCCTGTGCCATCATGATGATGGTGGTTATGGTGGGTGTTATCTCATCTCACCTTACCTCACCTCATATTATATCACGTTTCTAATGTTTGCTTTGGCGTCTGCTTAGGATTCACATTCTTACATATATAGAGCATTACGAATTGCATCAAAGTACATTTCCATACATTCCGATTGAGCCTTAACTACTCACTGCATAGTGTATGCACTGCATAGTGTCAACACTGGCACTGGTGTTTGCCTTGAGGCAAGTGCAACCCCGTCGTACCTTCCTCATTCAGGCAGCACTCACTGTGTGTGAATGTTTTGTTTGAACAATCGACCATCCACTGCCGCCTCTCTTCCTTTTCCTCTTCTCTCCTCCTCTCTCTCTCTCTCTCTCTCTCTCACGCACACACACTCATTCTTCTCCTTCACCTTCTGTCTTATTGACCATCCCCAAGCTCTTCTTTTCAAATCCTGTATCTCCAGGATCGAACCTCGTGTTCTTTTCCAGTCAACCTTTTGTTTAAAATCACTTCACCATGGGTGCTGTCATCATCGGCCATACTACCCCCTTTGGTATCCCTGAAACGGAAGCCCAAATCGAACTTGTACGTATTCGGGGGATCGTGTGGAGAGTTACAAGAATGTGGTCTGCCAAACGTGGCCGTCCTCTGGAAGCGAGTATCCATGCTCCTGCTCATTTGCGACGCCGTGAGCAGGCTCAGTTTGAGCGAGTGAGTCGGGCTTCCGCCGCTGAGGTCGCTCTCGAGATTTATCGTCAGGAAGTCGACGTCGCTTATCAGGAGGAAGGCCTGACCCAGGCTATCGCTGCCATTGTTCGTATCTTCCTCCATTCTCGCCTCGCCTCACTCGCTTCACTTGACGTGGCTTGCGAAGGAGCTCTTCATATAGCATGGTTGGTATCGAGATCTGCATCGGCATTTCACTGACAAATTCGCTCGAGCAGGATTTCTCCGAGAAGGGTCAAGTTGATGGCATTAAGCTCTCTGGCAATGCCGGTACCAACCCTGCAGCCGCTGAATTCACCCCAGCAGCCAACCCCGAGGCCAGCCCTACCATCCCTGCTAACGCTCCCGTTATGCGTGGCGTTTACTCCAACCAGGCGTTCTTGGACTCTTTCAAGGCCGTTCAAACCCGTGGTTTCAATCTAGGTGGTCAGAAGATTGCCCCTCGACGCATTGCATTCAAGAATGTTCCCGAGTGGGCTACATACTCAGACATGCTGTGCCTTGTTCACGGTGGTGCTGTAGATCGCATCTTCCGCGGCGAAGAGCACGAATTTGTCGTTCAGTTCTGCGACGAGGAAAGCTGCACCAAGTATCTCGAGGCGTATCCTTCCGGCATCAAGGTTGAAGACGACCACATCATCGAGGTGGTCCGGGCTCCTGGTTCCGACAAGATCCTTCCAGCATTCACCAGTATGATGGAGAGTGAGGCTTCGCGTCTGGTTCGCCTGGCTCCTGTCCCACTTGACAAGACTCTTCAGGATCTGCACGATTTGGCCAGCGGCCTGACTGTTGACCATATTCTGTACAATGCGCGCGCTGACTGTGTAAGTCCCCTCCCCTTTCCCCGGTTTCAACTGCAGTTCCTGTCAAACGAGAAGAAGAGCGAGAGTCAAATAACATCTGTCTAGCCCGGTTCTGCCTATCTTTTCTTCTGTGGCGTTGCTCACGGTAACCGGTTCTTCACCAAAATCGAGGAGGAGCAGCCCTGGGATGGATGTGAGGTCGGATTCATGACCGATCCGTACGTATTCTCTCAGATCACACTATGCAATGAAATGAAATTCCATGCTGACTTCAAACACAGTTGTAAGGCCGCTGAAGCCTTCCACGGCAACTCGATCCCTTACCAAATGTCCACTGCCGAGGCTGCCTGATCGGCTCGCTCTGGCCCACGCTTTATCCTAGTCGACGATTTTCTAATTTGCACCACAAACACTTTCGTGCATTAAACCGGTATCGACAAGTATCATGTCGCGGACTGACATGAAATTATGGGTGGACGGAAGATGGGACAACGAGTGGAAGAATCCCAAAATCTGGTGATGTGAGAGTGCTCTTCAGATTGTCTCTGGATTTAGTTTCGACGTTTATCGTTTTTGTTTCTTGTTATTTTTTCCTTTCTTTTTTTTTCTCTCGCGGAGCAATACTACAACTAGGACCATCTGAACAATGAATTATCCACCCCAAACCATTTCTATTCAATTATTGCAGTTGTGCAATCTACCGTAGTGCAATGTCAAGTATGACCGTGGCATCTTTCATTCGTCAGCCACGATGATGAGCCCTCGATATCACACCCGAAGCAATTGGGTACTTACAGACTACTAGTAGTAGACATACAGAAACGGCCAATCCCTGAATTTCTAATCAACACACAGGACAGGCACTACTAGTTACAGTAGTATAGACACTGTTGCCCTTGTAAGGTAGTATCAAGGATGCAATATCCGATGAACGACTCGTGCCAGTGCACGGCCGATATACCCCCGATCCGCCAACTGACTTTAACTACTTGTTAATGGTAGCACTAGCACTAGTAGCAGTCATATGTCCATACCCCGTGAACAAAATCTATCAAAAAGGACAACTTGAAATTTCACTTTTTAAAACCTTGAAACGAATTGCAACAAGTCAAAATAAGCGGTACACCGCCACAACCCAAGAAACTTCTGCAGGCGAACGTCTCTCCTTCTTATTTCGGACACACGGCAACTAGTGCTGATGCGATGTGACTCGGATGGCAGTGTTGATGACTTTCGGCAGCTCGGAGGCGAGGAACCTTCTCTGAAGAATCTATGTCAGTGATTGGTTTGGATACGTATATACATACTTTTGACGGGTTCTGGGCACCTGGGAACGTCGGATCAAATTACCCGCGGTCAAGTCTGAGTGGATCGGAGTCTGAAATTTAAATAAAGTAGAGTTTTTTGTTGGAGGATATTAGAGTACGAAGGAGCCACTGGTTGTGAGTTGTTCACTGGATGGTGGATTTTTATTTTTGACTTATTTTTTTTCCCTTTCGTGCTTACGGGTTGTTATTTTGAAGGAGCGGGTCCGAGTATTTTTCTGGTTCGGGAATTTCGTGCTTATGGCCGAGGGATTTGATTTATGGATTTCGGAGTCGGGTTCGGAGTCGCTTTTTCGAATTGAGTTAAGTTGAAGTGAAGTGGAATGAAGATACCGGTATGATAAACAGTAAATGGATTCGGAGACAGATAACTAGAAATACTACTCAACTTGAACTCATTACTATATGCCCAGACGTTGACCGTTGGATAGTTAGAGCTGGACGTAGGAGTATTTGTATAGATATCGTAAGAGTAAATTAACTCTGGAGTGAAGTGTGTGGGGGTACTTAACTACGCACGTACTCCTGGTAACAACAAAACTCAATACTAGACACTAGTAAACGGTGATGACCGGTAAAGACAATTCTTCACACTCCTTCGTGCCATTTTCCTCTTTTCGGACGAGATTACAGGTCAGTTATTGGGTGGCCAGACGACTCGGAGATTGTCACTGGTAAGGCGTTCCCAGGTGGGCGCGGGTGACACGTGAATTGTGGAAGCGAAGGTAAGATTCTACAGAAGTGGCTGGATGGAGGAGGAGGCACGGGTTTGAACCTATAGTAAGCTTCCCCGAAATTGATGGGATGCCTTATTCGTAGATGGTTGAAGATGGTTGGGAAGAATGTCGATGTGACCTCCACGATTAAGGCATCAGGCCTTATTAGGCGGACTGTTGACATTTAGAATGCTAATGCTACTAGTATATAATAATATGCAGGCTGTGTTCAATGATATAGTACAGAGGGATACATTGGTACGAGGTGTTCAGTTGACCTTGGGCAAGGCACTGGGCTTAACCGCAGATATCCATGGATGTCTGTGTCGGACTGGCTACATTATGGATATAGATATGGATAGCCTGGGGAAGGGCTAAAGCGCCTAGGTACCTAATTCCACGGACGGCTTGGATCAGTTGCCCTACCCAAAACGGTACGCATTACATGATTCTCGAAGAACTCTCGATGGCGATCTCGGGTCCCAAGATCGTGTATTCGTAATCTGCTCCACTATCTGTCTCACCATCTGGTATTACTATTCAATCTGACGCCCAGCAAACGCTAGGTACTATGCAGGTATAAGCTCCTTGGGAAAGTATAGCAATGGAAATGAGTTAGTCGGAAGTCCACTTTCTATGTAGTAAATAACGAATGTGTGGCTTGCCGATAGGACGTCGATCGAAGTGTCGGGTCTTGGTTTTTCTTTCGGCACTTGAGCGTATGCTGAAGATTTTCTTGTACTCCTTGCAGCCCCAGTTGCCACTCAGTATCACATTCTAGTAATCCACTTCTGCAACCTTACTCGAATAGAATGGGCGCAGCGCGAACCCTATTCTGGTAAAAACTGCGTGAAAACTCCGTCGGATATGACAGAACGTGAAGAATGACATCTAGCCGAATTTGTCTCGCAGTGCGAGCTAGTGCGAATACGGTTTTGTCAGCCTTCACCTCGTCGAACTATTGTATTGATCATACTCCGTACTACTGTATGTACGGTATGTATGGAACTTGCAGTACATATGCTTATGTTGAGTGTATTGTACATAAGGTCAGATACAATGGGTACATCATAAGTTCACTCAAATATAGTATTGTATAGATACACAGAAGGATCAAGCAAAGCCTTGACAATCGATTGCGTTATCCCCGGTTGCCCCCCTTTGCGCCCCCTTTTCATATGCCTTGAAACACATGCATAAAGAAAGCATTTGTTTCTATCTTCAGTACCACGCCAGCACTCTTCCCTCCCCCCACAATCCTCGAATCCTTCACAGCTAAAATAAGAAACGGCCCGAAATTCCGAAAATCATTGGCGTCCACCCAGTGATGATCTCTGGCCCCCTTTCCAACTAGCAGGTTAAGCGTGGGTCCCAACCACCTATGTACTATGGCAGTTCGCGACCAGTCTCGCATTTCATTACCGAACGAGTCAAGGGTCCGCCCCCAGAATCGAACTGCGGCTCGAAGGACTAAGGAAGGCCCCAAGCCTCCTTCATCTCTTGTCAAGATGAGATATGAAACGGTCACTGGACCGCGGCCGCAAGTGGAGACTTCTGAAGGAATAAGACGCCAAGTTGATGTGTAATTGTCTTTTGTTCACTCTGGGGGGCCGAACTCAAGATGTTTCTAGGAATAGGAACGGGATTGGGTCCGGTGCTCTGTTTTGTAGAAGTGATTTGCGTCTGCACTGCCTGCGGGTTCAGGGAGATTCAAGGTAGGGGGGCCTTGCTTGGCCTTGTTTTCTTCTTCTTTTGATTAGATGTGGAGGCCTGCTTGGGGTTTGACATATTTTCTTGAATGATGGGCGATCTTTCTGTTGATTGTAGTTTATTGACCTATCTACCTACATCACACTTACCCTAAACGACTCTTCATACGCCATATATGACCTCAGTATTGCGCCATTAAAGCCTTACGGCTTTTTACCATACGTATTTAATATAAACCCCAGCTTTACAAGAGGGCTGTGCTGGCATGACTCGAGAACGGGAGGGGCCAGGCTGGGCATTGCAGAGAATGGATGATGCGATCGTTCGACGAGGACGGACAAAAATGGACGAATTGAACGGTACTAAGCTGTGAGAAAACTCGAATTTGAGAAGATAAGAATCCCTTGTATTTGCCATGAGTGTTCATGTAAATGTAGATATAGTAGTATGTGTAGATGTAGATGTGTACCAAAGTGTGTGAGAAAGACATATGGTCGAAAGGAAGGAATCCAAAATGCCTGCTGCAACGAGAGAAAAAAAAGAGATAGCCGCCCACGATATGATCATCATGTCATGGATATAAAACACCGATAGAAAAGAACGCCCATGAGGTATCTTGAACGTTAGACAAAGCCTCCCTGCCCAAAATACAAAACTCCGAAAAAATTGAAAAGAAACAACTCAGCCACCCATTTGACTAGGAAATGAAAGGTCAAATCAAGCAAATAAGAAAATCAAGCCTCCGCTGCCATCGCTGCTGCCGCCGCACGCTGTCGTCGCAGAGCTGTCTCTCGATCCTCCCTCATCCAAGGATACCAAACATTTGCCCACTCTATCACTCCAAACCGCGGCGCTCCAGCCTCAGGGCCTAAAGCTGCACCCTCGCGTAGAAACTCGCCATCACGCATGCGGCGCTGCTCCCGGAGAGTCGGACACTTCTTCTCCTTGATGAAACGGTAGAATTTGCACTGGATACCCTGGAATCCACGTCGCTGACGTGAAGGAAACTGGTGATTGAAGCTCTCACGAACTTCCTTCCATTCCTGACACAAATCGACTCGGTGATACCAAATGAAGTACATCTCTTCCTCCTCGTACTTGGGGCGTGGGGGACGCCGACGGTCCGCGGGCCCGCTCGTCGATGAACTACTCGAGACAGAGTCGTACCGTTCACGGGGATGGTAAGGGTCCGGTGAGGACGGAGCGGATCCTGTGCGGCCGGACAGAGAGAGCGAGGTCGAGCCTGAGTGCGAGCCGCCGAAGGATGACATGCCTGATGGCTTATAGGGTAAGAACATGTGCTGCTGTTGCGGGTTCATGGCGCCTCCGCTCACGCTGCTGTGCGTTGTTGCTGTCGATGCAGCCCCTGGGCTTGTGTCATGATAGCCCTGATACCGGTTGTACCAGTATTGATTTGGGCTGGGGGGGATAGCCCGGTGAGGGTTGTCCGTAATTGGTGCCATGCGACGAGGATGGGACTGTTGCATGGTGAGTGTATGGTGAAGAGTGAGCGCCGCATTCTCCTGGGCCTGACTCGTTATCGTCGTTGAGAAGAGATTTGATGTTCATGCGGCTTGGCTGTTTGGCGGAGAGTGGGTATGTGTCTGCCATTTTGATTTCGCGGGGTTAAATGTTTCCCTTTTTTGCTGCTTCTTGCTTGCTTATACTGGCACTGCCAGTGAGTTGATTGGGGTTGTGTTTCTCTGTCGTTGAGGATTTATAGATCTTGTGGTTGTAGCGGGGATTTAATCGTTACACCTCGACCCCAACCTAGTGTTCAGATAGGAGAGAATAGCAGGTGTAGCAGCAGCAGCAGCAGCAACAACAACAACAACAACAACAACAACAACAACAGTAATGGTAGCAACAACCGTAAGCTTAGAGCTGACTCGATACAATGTTGGGTGAGTAGGTGGGTGGGTGGGTGGGTGAGTATGAGTGGAGGTGAAGTATAGATCAACGTAGGAAAAAAAGCCTCCCGGGGGGGAGTTCAAGGTTTATAGATCAAAAGAATCTAAACAGCAGATCACCAGGAAGAAACACTCGGGCTTAAGTGTAAGAGAGAATCCATCCATCAGAAATAGTCCCAGGCTAACAGCGCTGTTGGGTGCAGGGAACCGAAGATCCGGGTCGGGCTGGTTGTTCGCTCCTTTGGCCCCCCCCTTGTACAAGGTGTACCGCGGATACAGCACAAGGCTCCTTGGACCTAACAGGGGTGGGCAACAGAAAATTGGAGAAGAGAGTGGACAGGGCAGTGGACACCCTCGAGCACGGCGGTTCCACCCCAGAGAGACTAGAGAGCAGAGGGACTGACGATTGAGACCGGTGAACCGGACAAGGAGGTTCCGCATGCGATGGTATTTTATTCTATTATTATTATTTACTATTATCCGCGAATCACTCTCACTGTATATCATTATATTATTATTATTTTTCTCATCGAATTCCTTGCCACTGTTGGAATAGACATCTCAAATTGTGAAGAAGCTGGTGGCGATCCGACTTGAGTCTCCAGTGTTGATCGGGTAATTTTGGTGTTGGATCGGCTTTAGGCCTGACAATAATAATAATCTAAAGCGAAAATAAATATTATGTGATTTTCCTTTTTCCAAATTTAGTTTTTTTTTTTTTTTTCTTATTATTTTTATTATTTGAATTTTGGCTTTACGAGGTTCTTTGTCTCAAGACGCGGCAATGAGTGGAACGGCTGCGCAGCGCGCAATGACACAATCTTTCAAGCGGATCGTCGGTCATTTCTGCTGGCCGATTTCACGTCTGATACGCAGATGGGGCACGCGGGGGAAAACCCGTAAAAAAAAAAAAACCAATACCTCTCACCATTTGCAGTAAGTGCGAGATGACAAATTGTGGAGACTCGACATAAAGCTCAAGCTGTCAGTAATACGGCTCGCAAAGTCAAAATTACCAGGCGGAATATTGATTTGATGTGATAATTTCTTGCTTCGGGAGAAGATCTGTTGAGGGTTATTACCCTTTAGTCACAAACAGCGGCATCGCATGCAAGCGCACGCGTATTCTGTGCACTAAATCCGCCAACTGCCAAGCCTGTTGGGCAGGGTTTGTGAGCCAATCCTACGTCGAGCACAAGATTATCATGCAGAATCAGGGAGGCCGGCGCTCGCGTGCATTTCCTATTTTAGATGAGCTCGAGTCGTGCAATATAATGGACTATTCCATTCATGGGACTTGGGGGGGGGCCTTCATGTGAGCGGGCAAAAAAAAAGTGGGTAGATTCCCTGACCCGGAGCGTTGAAGACCGGATGATATCCGACCTAATACTGCGAAGAAGAAACTACGATGATGTGCCGACAAATTGCACAGGGGAAGTAGGTTGGAAAAAGCAAGTCTCAGAAAACCAACACAAACGCGCGGCGTCTATTGGAAGAACGGCCGTCACCTGGTTGCGACGCCCGCCGTGGCCCCGGGTCGAGCAGGCGAATGAGAGCGAAGAGCTAATGCGGACTCAATTTGGCGCTGAGGAGGGGAGGGGGGTCGAGAGATGAAGCCAACGCATCTGCAGACTTGTTGGTTAACTTGTTACATTCTCATGTCTGGCTACGATTATGCCAATTCTTTCAAGAGTGCCTTGAGTCTATCGGGAACTCTGAAAATGATGAAATTCGCATGATTCAGAGCCAAAGTGGATTGCTTCAACCTCCGAAATGAAGCGAACCATGGTTATCAGGGTCTTTTGGGAGGCTATCCGTCCTCACTGGACTTAGTACGCGGGGAATGCTGCGCTTTGGGAAACCAAGGGAGGAAATAACCAGACTATCCTACTACGAGTATGTCCAGTGTCCACCGGCCTTGTCCGGTCTCTTTCCATCATAGTGTTGGTGCATGCGTGTCCGTTCAGACCTCTCCACCCCGAGAAGCGCTGCGATGCATGCTCCACCCAGATCAACCGAGAAAGGTCTCCTTCGAGTCAAAGCCGTGTGATGTCAAACTATGATCAGCCTTGCCGATCGACTGCAGTGGCCACAACGGCTACAAGATTTTCTTCACGGCAGGAGATTCTTGATATACTTTGGCAGGTATGTACGGAGTATAGTAATCTAATATACCTGATGTATTCGTGCGGCAACCTTGGAATGAGCCCAGCCTTCTTACTACTACTTCTGCTACTACTAACTTGGAGTGACTGTCAGTGCGGAGTAGAACGGAGTCGATAAAATATTCAAAAGTACGGAGTACAACCAAACCAACTTGAACCTAGGCCCCTTTTCTAAACGAGTGATGTCTCATAACCGCGCATTTCCAACTGCTGCATCCACACCAGACATGGGTGGCAACGCAACCGTCCTAAGGAAGTAGTCAATTCGTACTAACCAGGCAGGGTATCTACTGTATCTAGTGCATGGAGTATATTCCATACGGAATAATTTTATTATTATTATTATTTTCTTTGTCTGCACAGGCTAGAGCTGCCCCGGTTCCGTGCAGATCAGATCAACATGGCCGGGGGCTAAACCGGATATTCCACCTCCTGTGACCCCTCTCCCCTCTCAAACCAACCCCCCCAAGAGGGTCCTCCAGGAGCAATTCCAATTTACCCATGCCAATCATCATCTTCGATTCGGCGTTAGTCGCGTAGCCGCAGCTACCACCAATCACGTGAGGCGCGGAATTCGGAGGCTCCGTACTGCACGGCCCCATTTTCATCCACTTTTGCTCCATTTCTCAGGTGAATCTTGGAGAATCTCCGTGGAGGAGTTAAATCTCGTCTCGTCATGTACATACGAGTACAGATGTGCCATGGCAATCACCCGGTCCACGGTTGTTGTTGATGGTCTAGTCCAACTAACACCAACTAAGGGGAGGCGATTGTAACCTGACAATTTCATGGAACGCCTCATCTCGCAATCTCTTGCCAGCCACTCCGGGAAAGAACCCGGGTCGTATTGTCGCTTTCACCGGTTGTTGCGAGTCATGTCGTGCATGTTCCTTCCCGATCCTTGTATGCTTAACGACCAACCATCGTCTAGAACCCCCAGATGGCTAGGGTCCAACGTGGCTGCGAACCAGCCAAAATGGAGCAAAACCCCCATTCTTGGCTTTTCTGTCCCAATCACAGTCCAGGATTCTCATGCGATTTCGTGATGGGCTGAAGCCGCAGGGGAAAGAAGGAGGAAAAAGCAGATGTGTCGATTCATGTCGATCGATTCCTTACCTTTCTTTTTTTTTTTTACCTTTCTTTTCTTTTTTCGAGCTAGTTGATTCTCTTTGTTCTTGATTGTCCGATCCGCGTCTCGCATTGCCCTATATCGACCTATCGACTCTGGTTTGAACCTCAATCGATTCTTGGCTCACGATCGTCCCATGCAGGGCAGGGTTGTGATTTGAAATCGTGTTCATCTGCATATGTCTCTACTAGGTATGGGGCGAGAACGGTAGAACTCAAACCTTCGCCAATTTCCCCTCGACGCTCTGGCCGACGCCAAATTTGCCTGAGCCCCCGCCAACGATAGCCGCCGTCTGCAAGTTCGGTATCAACAGCTTTTGTCTGGTAATTACTAGACACGTAATATTGAAGTGGTACATTTTCCCGCACGCCAACTGCTAGCTACATCGCTGGTTGATGTACAAGTTTACTAGGCGAGGTGCTTTTCTTAGCCACGGCTCGGTAAAGTCACCAATATTGATTTCAACTCGAATTAGAAGCGGGAGGATCGACTGCACGTAACAAAAAGAGAATAGAGGGAGAGAAAAAGAAATAGATTGCCTGCGCCGAAAAAGGTGACTAGCTGCAGTTCAGTGAGTCGTCATCTCAATCCACACCGCATGCGTTGGACCCCTGCAAGAATTGTTGCGCAGTCACTGCGCTCTGCACGGCGTGCGCATCAATGGGGCCGGCGCAGTCAATTCGAAGCTACGTCTCCATAAATCCTTCTCCAGTCTCAAGAAGCGAGACACGCCCTACGCCGCAGAAGAGGGGCCAGAGCCGAACGGCGCTCATAGCCCCTCTTTTCTACTCCTCGTCGTTCTCCACAAGGAGGGGGTGCACATGTTACTATTCTCGCGATCATCGCGGTCGAGACCGGGGTGTGTAGCGGCACGGGAAGAGGTTTCAAAACGGGAGATTTGGAGGGTCTTGCGGAGATTCAAGGTTCATTTCCCGTCTGCCTTCTCTTTGTTCGATGACCTCGACGAACCCTGCATTGGAAGGTGCCTCGCAAACCCTAATTTGCCCCGAACTACGCCGAACTGTCAGATCAGGAGAAGACGTGGATGCGTAGATCCGTGGCCGTTGGGAGAGTAAGCGCTTGCGACGAGAAGCTCCGTAGACTACTAACCTAGACGAGATTAACTATCACTGGAGACTGATCTGCCGCGAGTCTGAGCTTTGGCCAGAACGTGGTTACCTGGAAGATCAGGGTTAGTGTTAGCTTTAGTGGCATGTTTTTTTTTTTCTTTTCTTTCAGGTACGGAATACTAATACAGTACGGTATAATGCTACTCGTACTGT